TTTTAAAGCTCCACATCAAAACTACAAAGGTCATGTGAAGAAGATGTAATAACTAGGCTACGACAAGAGTTTCGGTCCGTACGGTCTTTCCGGCGACGGAATCTTTGGAATCGGACGATTTACGAAGAGATGATCTTGAAGACAACGACGTTTTTTTCCAGGTCTTGGCTTTGAGTTCATCAGACTCAATCTGTTCTTGTCTACACTCTTGGCTACAGAACGCCATGTCTCCTCTGTAAAAAAAAAAAGAATCCAAAAAATTAAAGCTTTTCCGAATAAATTATAATGAAATGGTTAATTATCTATCTGGATTCATGATATTCACGAGAATCAAAGCGTAATTCGCAAAACCCAGATCCAGATTCTTAAATTCAAGACCAGATTTTTTCCTCTGTTTTGGGTGGAGATTAACGAAGAAGTTACCTGTACATGAAAATGTCGGAGTTAAGAGAAAGTGTTTTGCGACAAAGAGAGCAAGATTCTAGAAAGTGTGGCTCGTCGCTCTCGTAATACCAATACGAATCCATTGTTAAATACAATTACTATATTTTTTTCTCCGTATTCTCTATAACAAATATGTTCTTCAAGGAGGAAGAAGAAGCTTCAGAAACAATGGTGGGAGTGGATGTGTTTTATATAGAAAGGAGGAGACCGAATCACCTGTGTGATGGATCATTCTAGCTTCTGTGGTCTACGATCAAGTATCACTCGTGACCGTTCGTTAAAACTTAAATCAATACTATCTGAGAAGTAGTAATTGAGTGCTTTTTTAACACCCTTGTTGAACATAATTATTGTACATTCAAAAATTTGAGAAAAATTATCATACTATGAAGTAAAAAAGTATATTCCTAAAATTTCTACATTTTTCAAACAAATATATACAATCAAAAAAAAAAAGAGTTTACCTTCTTCTCTTTGACTTTGATAATACATTTACCTTTCCCATATATTTAACCTACAACCAAATCATTTTTACAAATTTTATCTACTATAATTACAAATATAACGAATAAAAGTATTTTGAGTTTCCATCATTTTTCATTACAGTTTTGTACTTTATGAATAGTCCAAAATGAAAACATTTTTAAACATAAAACTCATATTCGGAAAACTGAATGATTTATTATTGGCCCACAAAAAAGCCGTCAAGTCGAGTTTACGTGACCCACATTGTTCGGAATCGAACTGGGATCTGACTAGGCAACCCTCACAAGACGACAAAAGGAATCACTAAAAAATGGGACCCACATTAAACTTAGGCCCAATTCTTTTGTCCTTCTTGGGCCCATCACAGCTATCTTCTGTTTCCCGTACTCAGAATCGTGACTCAACCAAAACCAATTACATATATGGCACGAGCGGTTATTACTTGCTCGTGCGCCAGGTGCCAGAGTCTACGATACGTGGCAGTCTAGCAGCAACTCAAAGTCACGAGAGTCAAGTCTCGCGTATTTCCATCTAATAAAATTTGTTGTTCGATTAGCGGAATTTTTCATTTTTGCTATAACATAAAAGTGATCCAAGCTTTAACATATTGAGACTAGTTTGATAAAATAACTGACCAGAATTTTAAATGAATCTATACTATTTCGAATTATCAAATAAAAATAAAATTATTTTAAAGAAAGATCAAAGAAAAACGCGAATATCCAGATTTTTACCACCCGACTAATCTTTCAGGATAAATGTAGTTGTCGAGTAACCCACTCTCCAGATTTTTTAATGAACCAAAAGCATGATACTATTTCGACTGGCCAAATAGAAGTAAAAGTGTTTTCAAGAAGAATCAAACTCATATTGGAAAAGTTTATCTCTTTCTCCTGATTCTTTTTACCATTAGGCCACCACCACTTGGTTTTTTTATATTTTCTACAATATCAGTCGTGAGTTAGGCTCCGATTCGTTTTTGCATTTAAGTATTCTTTACGTTTGAAAATGTACAAAGAGCAAATGCACGTCAC